TTTTTTAATTTTATTTTTTCTTTTTTTAGTGTAACTCATTTTAGAGACATCTAGATTTCATTCTTCTCTACTTCTTGGTGCCCTCTTTTCTTCAAAAATTTATGAACACCTCACCTCATAAATTTCTTTTCTCTAAAAGAAATTCTCTGAATTTCTTAAATTTCATAAAAAATTGCCTTTTAGACAGTCTCATTCAGGAGTTTTGGGAACCCTGGGTACCTGAGGGCATGCCTCTGCGCCCCAGCCTGCCTCTGTGGAGCAATCCCCACTTGGAGCAGGACTTGGGAGCAGGGTAGCTGAGTCATTGCTACGATGCATCTGAGCTAAATAGCCCTTTGGGAAGCAGGATTTGGCCCTGGAGCCATACAAGTGGCACTTCCCCTCTCCTCTCCCTCCCACTAAGCTCAGGATCTGGCCATGCCCCCTGCCAGGGTTTGTTTTTCTTTTTGGAGGAGTCTGTTGTCTCCTTTTAGGAACCTTCAGTGTTATTCTCTCTCCGAACTGGAATTGTAGCTCTTCCTCCATGTATCCAGGTGGCTGTTTCTCTTAGTTAACAAATTAGCTTCCCTGAAATCAAATAGCCTCATTTCACTGTGAATGGGCTCATAAACACAGGAGTAGGTAAAAACATGGCTTGAAGCAGGAAATTTGCAAAGTCCTTCAGTATCGGTCTAATTCTGTTCTCTTAAAAAGTGTAATTAATAGAAAATTCATCTGCTTACATGCAACGGCAATGTTAATATAATGCTAAGATGATTCTGCAAGATGTACTCACGAAATATTTAGAAGCCCAGCTAGCACAACAGGATGTTTAAATCAGCATTATCTTGGGCTTTGCATATCATGCTCTCATGCTGTATTACTGTGGGTAATTTGTTCTGTTTTGAGTTCAAAGCACTCAGGCTTGGTTCAGCCCAGCCATGGCAACAGGAGCTGGTATCACATAAAAGAGCATATGGGTTAAGAAACGTTTGTACTGTGGCTGTGAAAGGAGGAGGTAACTGCAAAGTTGGACCACACGTTCCCCACGAGGTTTGTCCCTCTGTGTTAATTCCAAGTTATTTAAAAATTTTTTGTCTCTATACAGTTCCCAAATGGCTGGAAAGGATGGGGGAATTTGTTCTTACCATCATTTCTGCTACAAGTGATTAGTTTAGAAGGCAGAATGTCCAGTTCAGATCCATAATGCCATCCCTAGTGCCTGAGTTAAAAGGACATGAATTTAAGGTCTGTGAGGTGTCTCTTCGCTGCTGCTGCTGGTGGCTGCTGGGGGAGTGTGATCTCTCCGGATGGGGAATAGCCACAGTCTCAGGAGCATCCTGCATGTCAGCCTGGGCAAGGAAAGCCTTTTGGGGAGGAGGGCTGTGCATGACCCACAGATGTGTGTCCACATCACTGATGTGCTCTGTGGTGTGCAACTGCACCTGCTTGATCCCTCTAGAAGGAAGGGGCATTTCCCACTCCCACTCCCACACCCTGGTTTGCACAGTTGGCTTTGATCAGGCTTCAGGGTGGGGAACGTAATGAAGGAGGAGTGTTTCCACAATCCCGTGCCATGTAGCTGGCACAGCCTGTGCTGAGGCTCACACTCGTGCCCCCTGGCATATTGGCGTGTGTCACCAGGATGGCTTTGGAGCAAGGGGCCGTGCTGGGGCATTGGTGCAGCCAAGCCTGGTATCGCCCGCGAGCTCCGCCACCCTTCCTGCAGCCTCCTGCTCACCTGGGACTGCCATGGTCCAGCATCTGCCTCGGTCACCCTCTCACCACCATTAGCTTCAGCTGATGAACAAGAAAAACAGTGAGAACATACTAGTGAGAACGTACTAGTAAGATTGCTGCTGCATATTCTCTGATATTGAGGTTCTGCTATAATAGGCAGGGAAAAAAGGCTCATAAACATCCAAATTAATTTTTAACTCAGCAACATGACATTTTAGAGGACTGGCTGTGCCTTCTTTTCTGATATTTTTTGAAAGCCTTCATTGCAGTTTATGCAAAGAATAAGAAAATCATAGTGGAAAGAGGAACTTTTTGCTTCCCTGAAGTACTGTGCTTCCCTAGACTGTCCAAATTATTCCAGGTTTCTTCTTTTTATATACCTAATGCTATCTAAATTCTGCTATAATATTTGTCCACTCTTGGTATTTCTGTGTCAATATTTGAATTACCTGATTAATTTAACAGTATGCTAATGAAATGACAGAAAAACAACTAACCTGATGGTAAAAAGCACACCTGTGTATTCTGGATTTGAACGTGAGCTGTGGATGAATCACACTGTACAGCAGATAGTCATTACTAAATTGCTGAGTACAAAGATGCATTGTGACTCACTCGCTGTGTTTCTACTACCATTATAAACTCCGAGAGCACTTGATGAATAACAGAGAGTCAAGAATGAATTCATCCATGTTTCACTCTGTAACCATCTATTATAAATACTGAGCCAAATTCTGCCTCCAGATACACACAGCTCTCATTGAAGCCTGCCCACTGTATTTATTTTTAAAGATAAAAGCACTTCTGTTACTTTCACAGAGGACTTCTGTGACACAGTCCATTGTAAGGATGTGAATATCCTTCCTCAAGAGCTTCAAGTGAAGCAGGGAGTGTCTGCCTGGAACGGGGAAGGGCACTTCAGGGATAATAGCCTCCAAACTGCGGCAGTGGGATAATAACTGTTACGTTCGTCCCAGTGATTTTCAGAACCGTGTTCCCCACGCTCGGGTCTTGCATAACCCTCCGTCTCCCTGCTGAGGCTCTGGGCTCCTCACCTGGGTGACCCAGGGGCTGAGCTGCTGAAGCTGTTGGGCTCCTGGGGCTCACTGTCAGGTTCAAAGCGCACTGGATTGGTGGGGAAAGCCTTGAGTTAGGCTTTGGGTTTTTATTTTTTCTTTCTTTTTTTCCTGAGCTTCCTCAGGGGACATAGATGAGAATGTCTCATTTTTTCCCAGAACAGGCTCTGTTCTGTCCTTGGACCCCAAACGTCGGTGGCTTTGGATGTGTGCTACTCTACAGAGTGGAGTACTCTACTGCACGGAGGGAGATGTTTGTCCCGTGGCCTCATGTTTTGGAAAGGCTCTGATCAGAAAATGTTCTCTAGTGTCATGCAGTAAGCAGACCTAGAGGCAGAGGGTTATCTCCTTAGTATGTAGAAGATGGTCTTTGCCCAGCATGGGCTCTTTCCTCTGTAATTACCCCATCAGCTCTTCTGGTATGATTTGAGAAGGCTGCATTAAGGCTCTTGCTGTATATGCAGAATGGCTCACTGATGAGTCTCCCATCAGGGTAAAGGAGGTGGGGAAGGCAAAGGGATGTGGAGTGTGTTTACTATTTCTGTGGTTGATTGAGGCATGTCTCATTGCCACCGAGCTTTGTGATATTTGCTCAGCCCACCATTTTCATTACAGCTCAGAAGAAATGCTGGGCTTGAAGTTTCACCTGCTCCTGCAGTCTTTATGCAATTAGTTATCCCCAGGGAATGGTGCTGGGTCAGGGTGAGAGCAGACAGAGCTGTGCTTCCCAAAACACAGTGGTTTCACCAGGAGGCAAAGAGTTATTAGTCCTTTTTGGGATGGAACTACAGTTTGAATCACATATTTATTGTGAATGAAATGTAATTTTCATGATTCACCATGATTTTTTTTAATTTGAAGTAGCTCTGAAAGCCATTATTAAACAATAATATCTGATCAGAAAGGGGTTGTCAATTGTGAATGATTATCTGACAAGTAACAAGAGCTTTTTCTGTTGTTTTTTTTTTTTTTAGAGGTTTTCTGCAAACTGACCTGACTCTGTGGAAACTAGGGTTTTTTTCTGGGTTGCTTGGTTTTTGTTAAATGTCTGCAGAATATATGCACCATCCAGTTTTGTGCCTTCTTTTCTAGATTGCTCAGCCTCTGTGATACGTGGCTGGTTGACTACGCTCAGCTGATTTCTTTTACGTGGTTTTTTCTCCCAGGAAAAAAAAAGGTGGCAAGTGCTTTTGGAAAAGGTTTTCATTTTGAAGTAGCTAGCTCAGGTCAAGCCTTTCTCTCCTCCCCAGAGGTTACTTTATCATGGAAACGCGGATTACGATATGTTGTCTTCCTAGGCTTACATATTGAGGAGCTACTACTACATTTTTCTGTGAGGAGCAGCCAAAGCCTATGGCTGGTGCAGTGGCTTCTTTTCCTGGCTTGAACAAATGGGAGCTAATTAACAGGAGTGAAATACATGTGAAGTAGCAAATAATGATTAGTTTTGTTTATGTATAAATACCGATAGTCATGAGAGAACGCAAATGCTTGTGTGGGAAACAACTGTTCCCCACAGGCTGTTCTGGACAAAAGGGAATGAGCGTGAATGTTCACAAAACAGCATGTAAGAGGGGATCTAAACAGGGTCAAATAGCACATATGTTCGGGAACCCAGTGAACGTTCTCAAACGTCGTTTCTGTCAGGGCTAGCAGCAGATTGCATGTGCTGCAGAGGATGCATTGCCCTGCAGTTCTGTGCCCGAAAAGCACTCGCTCTTTGCAACTGAAATGAAAATTACAATAGCAGCTTCACTTCTTTTAGCAGTTGTGGCATTCCTCCTTTTATCACCCTGGGAAGATGTCGGTGCATTATGATGACCGATTCACTTCTCATTAAGTGGGCCGACATTTAACTGTAATTAATGAGTTAAAATCACATTAACAAAAGGGCAGCCCTCAAGAAACTGGTGCTAATAATTGCAAGGCATATGGGAGTCAGGGAGGACTTGACCTATAATTTTTACCACTTGTGGATTGTTTTGGTTTTAAAGCCGTTCACTCATGCCCAGGACAGACAAGCAGAGACACTTCTGCATTTAAACCCTCTCTCATCTGCCAGATGCAAGTTTCCCTGGCAGCACTGGTGGTAACGTGCCTGTGCTGCGCCTGGTCGCTGCCTGCCGGCCAGGGGCACAGTCACCCACTTGGAGCTGATCTCTCCTGCTAATGTCGTTACAGGCCAAGTGGTGAAGGCAAGGAAACATGGCGGAGGATAGGAAAGACGAAGCCAAGGCACCGCACTGGACTTCAGGTCAGCTAACAGAGGCTTCTTCACACCCACATTCACCTGAAATTAAGGAACAGGGTGGCGCAGGTGCCGGACTGGTCAGAAGCGCCAATGGATTTCCCTACCGAGAGGACGAGGAGCCAGGGCTGGGTGGCCACGAGCAGCCGGGGATGTACGCTCAGACCAAAGAGAATGGGATCAACGGAGAGCTGTCGGCAGGGGACAGAGAGACAGCAGGTAATGCACCTCGATGCCCCACCACGAAACACGGGGCTCTGCAGACCACTGGATGATATTTCTCCAAGGGGAGACATTAGCTGGAGCTAAACGTGCCCTGGGGCACGGGGGAGATGACATGAGGGAGCATGTGCCTTGGAAGGGCACTAGCTCCTCACATCAAGGGCTGCATCTTCATCTGGGTTTGCACAGCTTGCATCCTTACCCAAGATCCTGGGCAGTGCTCTGAGAAGACTTCAGGAAAGGCATGACCGTGCCTTAGCGCGTCTTGGTAGATGGGACAGGGTCACCTCTCTGGGGATGAGAGAACAGGCTGATGTACAGCAGCCACTCAGCTCCTCTGGGCTGGAAGGGAGTAGGAAACCGCCCAGCTGTTGCACACGGATAGCTCATGTTGCTCTTGTATGCATTTGTGTGTGCATGAAGGATGGGCTTTCCTCTTATTGCTCACAAGTAACAACACCTTCTTGAAACCACCAACTATTTGCAGAATAATGTGTTGCGCAATCTGACCGGGAATACCACAATTCAGCGTCAGCATTTATTCACCCATGCCCAGGCATATGTCGGTGTTTAACCCCAGCTGGCAACTAAGCACCGCACAGCCGCTCACTCGCTCTCTCTGAGTGGGATGGCAGAGAGAATCAGAAGGGTAAAAGTGAGAAAACTCACAGGTGGAGATAAAGACAGTTTAATAGGTAAAGCAAAAGCTGCACGCGCAAGCAAAGCAAAACAAGGAATTCATTCACTACTTCCCATCGGCCGGCAGGTGTTCAGCCATCTTCAGGAAAGCAGGGCTCCATCACACGTAACGGTTACTTGGGAAGACAAAGGCCATCACTCTGAACGTCCCCCCCTCCCTTCTTCTTCCCCCAGCTTTATATGCTGAGCATGACATATGGTGTGTCCCCTCCTGACTTCTTGTGCACCCCCAGCCTACTCGCTGGTGGGGTGAAGAGCAGAAAAGGCCTTGAGTCTGTGTAAGTCCTGCTCAGCAGTAACTGAAACATCCCTATATTATCAACACTGTTTGCAGCACATATCCAAAACATAGCCCCATACCTAGCTACTGTGAAGAAAATTAACCCTACCCCAGCCAAAACCAGCACGGCATATTTCGCTGGATACTCACTGGGACTTTGTCTGTTTGTAAACTATGTTAGGATTTTAGGATTCAGCTTGTTATTTGGGGAAAAAAAAAAAGTGTGACTGTGTCAAAATGAAATATGCAAAGCAAGTTTCCTGTTTTAGAAATAAATGCTAATTCTCTCTCTGCAGAGTTCTCACTTTAAACCCCAAACGCACAGTGCAAGAGGAATTTCTCTTGTACAGACACAACTGCCCTTGATGCATCCATCCATGCATGCTAAAGAGATCTTTCTAGCAATGTTTGTTGGCTGTTGACAGCATTTGGAGATGCCATCCATAATTTCTCAGCAGCTGGAAAATTTTAAGGCTCTTGGACCCTACAGTCATTTCATAAGCAGTTGTGCTGGAAATGGATCTCTCTGCTAAAAGTAAATGGGTTTAGATTTTAAGAGTCTCTTCTTGTGGATAGGCAAAGCTTGAAAACCAAAGGTAAAAGAAATCCTGTGTGAGCATTCAGGTGAACACACTGTTGATGGTTGTTTGGGGGGATGATAACAAGGTCTTGTCTCTTCGCTGTAACCCGACTTTGTGCTATGCTTAGCCAGCAAGTAAGCAGAAGCAGATGTACAGGAATCACCGAGGTAAGATGCTGCAGTTCTTAGGGGTTGGCGTGAGCCGTGGGAAGACTGAGCACGTTTGTCGTCTTTGCCACAGATTTTTCATGCTATCTTGGACAAGTCCCGCCCATACACATGCTGAAGTGGGAATAACTTTAGAGGATGAAGGGGAACTTCCCCTCCTTAGAAAGGGAGGAGCAAAGTGCTCTTCTAAGGCTTTCTCAAGCTCAGATTCTGAGCAGTTGTCAGTGTCTGAGAGAAGCCTGAATGTTTAATTGAGGAGTTTGCAGCTGATGGGTGAGAGGAGGTGAGAACCCACTGCTGCCCATCAGCAGGCATTGTAATAGTGTATTTTCATGTTGTTTTTTGAGGCAAGGGGTTAAACAGCAGAACAAGTGAAAATGAGGCAGTATAGTCTAGAGGAGGCAGGAGGACTGGGGACATATACTTGCCAAGGGAACAAGACTGCTCTTGATCTACGTGAAGTTTGCTTCAGTCACCACTTTGTGGCCTCATTTCCTCCTCCCCTGCTTTTTTCTCACTGTCTGCTTAGATTGCAAGATCTCTGGTGTGTGGACTTACTGTCGATACACACAGTTTTTGTTTGGGAGTCTTAATATAGCTTATCTCGTGACATCTTTGTCCTTGAACACCAGAAAAGTCCCTAAAACTGCTTGCCTTCATGCATGAATTCCTAGCTCTCTGGAAGCTTATGCACTGCATGCTCGCACAGTGGCTAAGCCCGTATTTAATTAATGCAACGTAAATCATCTTAGGATACTTAAGATATATTTTTAATCCTTTTTCTCTTTTTGAAGGAGAAACCTGTTGGCAACTCACTGTGGTGACAGAAAGGGACTGCGGCATGCATTGCCATTTTACACTAGTATTTACTAGCTGGATGTGCTTAATGCATTATGAAGCAGGAAGTTTAGAGGTAGATTTTTGGTGTTTGAGGGTTTGATCGTGAAATCAGGATTACCATTCACCACCAAATTCAGTCACCTTTGCTGTGTTTGTCTGTAAATTTTAACTGCGATGGGATGTTGTACCAGGTAGGGTTTTTAAATGCCGCTCTGATACACATAATTACCAATAATGTGAATCGTTTAATCATTTGTAGTAGCTTACTGACTCCAAACAGCTGAGGAGAAAATGCACAGGAAGCCAAGGTCAACCAAGATAATTAAGCCAAAATGTGGGTTTGAGTGGATTTACAGGGATTTTATTTTCCCTGGTGCAAGTCCAGCACAATAACCTAGGAAAATATCTGGCTTCTCAGCCTTCATGTCAGAGTCTGTAAATCCCCAGCAACTGCAACAACCAGCTCATCTGCAGCGGAGCGCTAGTATAAACAGGGCATTTCTCAGGCAGCCGCCCATTGCCCTGTCCCTGCTGATGAGAACTCAGTTATGTTTTGAGGTGTTTTGCCTAAGGAAGCTCTCCAGCACCTGACTGACCCAGGAGCTGGGATTTAGTCATGAAATGACCCTCTCCTAGGGAGAGGTATCCTGCAGCAGTGCAATAGTCCCTTTGGGGCACAGCAAACAGCAGGGCACCCATTTGCAGGGCTTGTGCTGTAAAATCTGAGGGCTGTGTGTTAAGGGGAAGGTTAGAGTCAGGCCACCAGGACAAAGGCACCTTATGCCAACAGTGATGCAGAGGCGAGGGGTGGTATTGGGGGAGGAAATAACAGTTCTTGCCAAAATGCATCCAGTCAATCACTGCAAGTGACATTTTTAGGTTTGCACAGTTAAAATTTGCCTTCCTGTATATATGTGTGTCTTTCTCTCTTGGCATCTGTCTAAGAGTTAGTGAGTCTGACCTCAATTTTGGAATCCTCTGAATCTGGCTGTTGTGCTGCCTTTGATTGATCTGTCTCGGTGTCGTGCTGGTAATGGCTGCATTATGGAGCCACATCAATGCCCTCCTTTCAAATGGACCGATGGGAACACGGAGAGTGCACAGTCCTGTGGACAGGGCAGCCTCAGGGCCTGATCCAGCATCCACTGAAGTCAAAGGCAAATATGTGTGAGAGAATAGGCCGTTTTTTTTTGTATAGCCCATAGGAATCTGTTATGGATGTGATATAAGTAAGGGTGGTAAAACAGCTATTCCTTTTTATATGTATTTGTGTGTGTGTGCGTATATATATATATATATATATATATATATGTATATCTCTACTTGGGCTGCCCCTGGCAGACCAGCTCAGCCCTGCTCCATCCTCAGCCCCATGCCTCTGCCAGCCGCGAGTCCCACACTGCTCCCAAGGAGCTCCTGAAAACACCTTGCCTTTGGGGCAGTCTGCAGCACCCCACAGCCCAACTCTAACTGGGCTGCCCCTGGCAGACCAGCTCAGCCCTGCTCCATCCTCAGCCCCATGCCTCTGCCAGCCGCGAGTCCCACACTGCTCCCAAGGAGCTCCTGAAAACACCTTGCCTTTGGGGCAGTCTGCAGCACCCCACAGCCCAAGATCTGCTGAGTTTCATTGTGCTCTCCCTGTGTGTGCCTGTCCATGTCCTTTCTCACCTGCACACAGACACAGCATCTTTGGTGAGGATTTTGGAAGTACTAGGAGGGGAGGATGACATCTGTAGCTCTTGTCAAGCCAAACATTTTCACATCACGTGAGATGTGTGCTGCAAAGGAGGCATGGTAGCATAATCTTCAGAAACTCACTCTGAAGTGGGCTGATGTGGAGAGCTTTGGATTGGACCCCATGGTAGAGCACGGGATGTGTTTTACTTATAATGAAACACAAGAGTGTGGCAGCCTTTGCTTACTGAAAAGTTGTGGTCAACTAATTGGGAGGAAGCGCTGAGGAGCAGTACAGATGCCCTGCAGTGTTCCCTGGGAACCAACAATTTAACACAATCCATCGTATTTGACTTGCAAGGAACATCAAGCTGCAAGGGTTTGTTATTTTACACTTAAAATGCATTTATTTTTCTTTTCAGTAATATAATGACTAACCTGTCAAATTTATATAATTAGGGGTAAAAGTAGTTAGATGCATTGTGAAGCATCTTGTACAATATGTCTTTATGTACAGTGACTCAGCTGATTGAGTGCTTTCTTCATTATATGCCAAATTAGGTTTATAATTGGAGGGGGTTTGGATTACCCACACAGTTATATTTGATGAATTATTTTTTTGACAGATGAAGGAAAAGCATTTCCTGAAATCCTATTACCAGAGCCTCAGGTCAGTGGCTCTGTCCTGGTGTCAAGTCAATGTTAAGGACAGTAACGCATCCTGCCAGAGTGACAAACAGAGCCCTTCATTCATTG